CGGCTTTGCCGGGAGAGCAGTGCTGGCAGTGCCCGGGGCGAGGGGCACAGCGGGCAGGGCAGCAGCTCCCATCACCCCTGGGGAATCCCGGCTTCTGGGCAGCAAAGTAATCTGGCTAAATTCTGCATTTTCAGATTTCCAGGCTGCCTGAAAGCCTGATCCTGCTGCCTCAAGCTCCAGGCTCCCAGCCCTGCTCCATGCAGCCCATCTCCCTGCCTTTTCCTGGAGAAACCTTCCCCGAGCCCTCGCTGCACACAGTGAGGGGGGAATCTCTGCAGTGCCAGGAAGAGATTTCTGAGCAATTTCTACACCGTGGCTCAGTTCCCTGAAAACCTCCCCAGCCTTTTTCTTTTGGTTTCACCTTTTGCTTTTGGTTTCACCTCCTGTCATTTCTCCCTGGGAATGCTGCTGTGCTGCAGGGTGGGAAGTTGCTTTCTGGCCATGTTCAATGTTGGGTACTTCTCACCATCATCTTTATTCTTATTTTTCCTGTCCAGCTCAGTGGCTCCTCGACAGACAAGGAGACATGGCAGAATCTCACTGGCACACTTGGGATGGAGACAGATGTTGGCTGCAAGGACAGTGCTGGGTGCAAGCTCTCTCCTGGAGGGCACTGGGACTGGGGTCTCTCTATGCAGAGACCCTGCCCTGACCACCACCTGCTGCTGGGAAGGAGTTGGGCAAAACCTTCAACAACCCTCAGCCTTCACCTTCATCTCCTCCTTTCACCTTCCCTGGTGAATACCAAGACCTTGGTCCGTGCAGCAGGTAAGCACATCCCCTCTCCTCCTAGGGCTTGCCCCATCCCACCACCCCCATCCCCCAGCTACCTGTGAGAGCTGCCCAAATGCCAGGTTTTCCAAGAAACCCAAGCTCAGCCATAACCACCAGCACTGTTATGGCAGACAAGCCCCAGTGCCCGGGCAATGCCCTTCCCACAGCCCATTGATCAGCCCTGCAGAGCCGGCCAGTGCTCAGCCCATCCCACGCCAGCCGCCGTGGTGTTTTTCCCGCTCCGGCAGCTGTACGGAAATTGGGAGGAGATGCTGACATGTGTCAACAATAACCAGTGAACAAGCGCCGTCGGCGGTGGCTGTCCCCACCACCTAGAGGAGGCTGGCCAGTCTTGGCTGAAATCACGACAAATTGTGGCTGGGAAGGAGGAGTATTGTTTCAATTATTTCCATTATATAAAGTCAAGCCATTTAATATATTCTGCCTCAAAGGGGCTCAACTAAAGAGATAAAATAAACACTAGAAATCTGCTCCGTTGGCACGGACAAGGAATTTGGTTTCGACACCAAACCTTCCCTCCCACCTCGCCGCTCGCCTTCCCTTTCCTCCTCCTGGCTCACTCTCCTCCTCCTGCTGCCCCTCGGCCTCCTGTGCCGCTCCACACCAATCCCATCTTTGGGACTTGCTTCTGTTCTGGCAGTCAGAGCACGTGGAGGCTGCTCAGCCACACCAGGAGCCAGGGCCGGAGCTGAGCCGGAGGAACTGCGGGGTAGGAGAGGAGCGGAGCCTCGGTGCTCTCTCTGGGATAACTGTATTTAGAGCAAACCTGAGGCCTTTTGGGGTGCCACATCCCCCCAGTGTGGGACAGACCCAAGGCCAGCTGGTGCATGGCAGGAGGAGGAGAGCGGGCGTGCCGTGAGCGTGCACGGGCTGCTGAAGTCATGCACCTTGCACCGTCCTCCCTGCCCGGGAGAGCTGCCAGCATCCCGGCACGGAGCGGCCTGGCCAGCTCTGTGCTGGCACGGGAGGCAGCCGGAGAGGCTGGAGCTGCCTCCTGCTACACAGAGCCTGGCTGCTCCCACCAGCTCCAGCCTAGCAGGAGCTGCTTCCCATTCCAGCTCCCCATGGCACTGACACGGCTTGAGCTCTCCTTCCTCACCAGGCTGCGCTGGTCCAGGTGTTCCCAATATGCTGGAATGAGGAGGAGTGTCCGGCCTTGCCAGGCTCTTGCTCAGGCAGTAAATCTGCAGTTTGTCCTTTTTCAGCAGGTTTCTGGGTGCATCTCTGGAGCTCTGATCTCTGCCTGCCTCAGAATGGGGGTCACGGGCAGTGCCACTGACAGGGACCTGGGTGACAGAGGTGACCGTGCCATGGGATGCCCAGCGAGGGCAGAATTAGGTGGAGTCAACATTTCGTAAGCGCGGGGGAAAGGGCCTCTGCCGAGCAGGGAGTGGCTGTGACTTTCCATTCCTGTGGGAAGCGGGCTGCCACCGTCCAAGCATCTGGGCTTGTTATGATGGGAGAGGAATGCCAAATATTTTTCTTCCTTATCCACTACCATCCGCCTAAACCCTCCCCTGATCAAACCCACATTCGTTGCCCGGGATGCACAAGGGCCCCTGCTCTGGAGTCAATATCCCTCCGTATGGCTGCTCCGGCCCTCCCAGCTGTGGGAAGCTCATTGCACCTGGGGACAAAACCCTGACTTCCTCCAGGCTGCCCTCCATCCATCCTGCTGCCCCTTCCTGCTCCTTCCCCTGCTGCCAGCCAGCTCCAGCCCTTTCATTTTCACTTTGCTCCCTTGGCCAGGGGCATCTGCCAGCATCCCTGGTTGACCTGCAGCCCCACTGGGACCACGTTACTCCCTCTGGAACACCCAGCACCCCAGGACCAGCCCCTGGGTTGGTGCCACGGGCGCGTGCCCCGAGCGCTGGCCGTGCCGGGAAGCAGGCGGTGCTGCCTTGGAAGATCACCAAGATTTTTCCAAAGATGAAAGAGTGCTCAAGTGTCAAACAAACTTTCCAAATTATCTTCCTGGACACTTTCTCTCTGGTGCTTTGGAAGACGGAGGAGGAACATTTTATTCCCTCTGCGCTGGCGTGGAGCGGGGTTGCGTGAGGGAGGCGGGAGCTGCCAGCAGCGCCCGCGGGCTCAGCCTCGCTGCTCCCCAGCATCAGCCCTGAGTCACCCTGCCTGCTGCACCCAGGC